GGGTGGGCAGGGGACCCGGGGGGTTTGTCACAGAGCCAGGCTGGGGCTGTGCCCGGGCATGGGGTGATTCCAGTCCTCCCAGCATATCCCATGCTCCATCACAGCACTCGGGAGTGGGGACAATTGCTGCTCCCAGGGACAGTCCCGTTGTCTTCAGCCTGGGTCCTGCTGGGCACTGGTGTCCCTGTCCCCATGTTACACTCCTGGGGACCCCGTGCCTGTCCCCACAGCCTTGGTGCCTCAGTGCCCACCCCCATGGCCCCAGTGCCACTCCCCAGAGCCCCTTGCACTCCTGTGTGTCCCCTGCACGTGTCCCCACAGCCCCATGTCTATCCCCGCCAGGCCCCCCTGCTGCTGGTGTGGTGGGGGGGGGTTCAGACATCACCCCATCCAAAGCGAGTGGGGTGGGAGGACCAGGAGGCACCCAGGGGGTCAGGGAGCACCTGGATGGGGGTGGGTCCCTCCACAGCCCATCCCTCTTCCCTCTACTGGTACAAGGAGGAGGGGGGGTGTTCCTGGTGCTTTGGGGGTGGGATCCCCCCTGCTCGTGGGCGTAATCCACTCCTGGATGGACTCGTGTCCACGGCACGTGTGGACTCACCGGGGTCCCGGCTGTGATGGAGGCTCTGCCACCCTGGGGTGGGAGCTGGGGGGGCTGCAGGGGTGGGGGCAAGGGGGCCCAGACCCTTCTTCAGGGGTTGGGTGCCCCGGTGCCAGCTCAGCACACTGTCCCCTCCCAGGGCAGCTCCCCAGCCCAATGATGACCCTCTGAGCCCCTCGGGACCCTGAGAACCCCCCAGCACCTTTTGCACCCAGCACTGCCTTGAGCCAGCAGAGGCCACATGTTACCCATTAGCAATCAGCCAGGGACCTTAATTAGGAGCCTCCAGCACAAATGGGGGGTCCCAGCCCCATCTCCCCACAGCCACACGCTTTCCCCCTTTCCCTCGGGCCTCTCCCTGCCTTGGCCCAGCTGTGTGTTCCTCCTCAGTTAATAAATGAGCTGTGATACTGGCAGGGCTGGGCCTTGGAGCGGGATGAGCTGCAGGGCTGGCGTGTGTGTGGGGGGTCCCAGTGCTCAGGATCGGGCCCTTGGCTCAGCCCCTGCCTGAGGTGGGATGGGGGGACAAGGGGACACAGTTTTGGGGTGCCCCTTGGGGGGGGAAGGAGATGGAGCCACCGAGATGCAGCTCGGTTTGGGGCATCAGTGCCGTCCCCAGCGGGTCCCCGTGGCTCTGGTCCTTGGCAGCAGGACCCGTGGGGCTCGGGTGCAGCAGGAGCCCAGCGGGGCAGGCAGCAGGTTGGGGTGACTCACCGGTCCCCAGATGCCCAATGTCACCGTCCCACTCCCGTGGGGCAGGAAGGGGGTTGTGGGACCCTGACTGGGGCTTCACCTGCAGAAGCTGCTCAAGCCTGGATTTTCTCCACCGCCTTCTCGGCCACCACTGACACCG